TATTCTTATCCTTCAAGTCTTTGCCAAGTCAAGTCTCCTTCAAGTCTTCCAAGAGTCAAGTCTTCATGCCTATCCTCTAAGCATCTTCCAAGGAGCCTCCAAGCAACTTCCAAGAAGGATCCTCCAAGAAACTTGTCCACCAAGTTTCATCTTCTATAAATTGAGCTAATCTCCTATCTTGGAATATACGAGAAGAAGTTTTGTTGCTTTATTATGTTTTGTGTGAGATTATCAGGCAAATAAAAAAGGGTATATGTGATAAAGCTTTGGGTTCAACCAATTGTGCAGTATTGGTGAACCGTATGACTTAGTCGGGTTGTTGTATCCTGGGGGGGACAAGTCAAGGTTTTTTCTACTGCACCGGTGTGAGGCTTTGCCTAACCGCAGAGGGCTTGAATCTCCTTAAAGAGAGCGAATTTCCCGTGCCTCAGCCCTTACAATAGTTATTGTGATTTTTATTATTTGTATTTTCTGGTGTTTTATTTGTAATTATCACCAACAATTTTAAGGAGATTCAAATAGCAAAAAGTCATGGAGCCAGTACTGGAGAAACCCAACGAGAATACCGGCGATTTCAACAAGCCCATCTGGTTCAAGGGAGCTCATTTCAAGAGATGGAAAGGCAAGGTGCTTTTCTACCTCAGTCTCCTCAAGGTAGCCTATATCCTGACCGAGAAAAATCCAAACAAAGTCCTCACTGAAGAGATGACCGACGAGGAATATGCCGCTCATCTTGAAAAAATCGAGAAATACAACACAGATGAGTATAAATGTCGATATTATCTTTTGAATTGTCTTTCAGATCTATTTTATGACTATTATGATACCACTTACACCACTGCCAAGAAAATTTGGAAAGCCTTGCAGAATAAATATGACACTGAAGAGGCAGGCGCTAAGAAATATGCTGCAAGCCGTTTTTTCCGTTATTAAATGATAGATGGAAAATCAGTGGTGGAGCAAGTTCAAGATTTTCAGATGCTAGTGGCTGAAGTTAGATCTGAAGGCATCAAAATTGGAGACAATCTTGTTGTAGCAGGTATTGTTGACAAACTTCCATCATCTTGGAGGGAGTTCCAGAAGTCAATGCGTCACAAGCAAAAAGAGACGTCCTTGGAGACTCTAATCACACGGATTCGGGTGGAGGAGGAAGCACGAGGACAAGATGCGCTTATGACACAAGAGCATTCCATTGCAAAGGTAAATTTAACTTATGGAAATACTTTACCTAAAGGTCGATTTCATAAAAATAGTCACTTGAAGCCAGTTAAGAAAATCTGAAAAAATACTGGAAGGCCACAAAATAAAAATTACTCGAGGCAAAAGAAATGGAACCAAGAACCCCTTCACAAGATTTGACAAATGTGACATGCTTTGTGTGTGGCAAAAGTGGGCATATTGCTTGAACTTGTAAATTTCGGAAACAACAGTCTCGACCACAGGCTAATGTTACCGAGGAACCATTTGTGGGTATGATTACAGATATTTTTATGGTTCAATCTGTGGAAGGGTGGTGGGCAGACTCTGGTGCCAATAGGCATGTCTGCTATGATAAAGATTGGTTCAAAAATTTCACTTCTTTTAATGAGGAGAGGACTGTTATGCTTGGTGACTCCAGTTTAACCAAGGTGCTCGGGTGTAGGGATTTTGAGCTGAATTTTACCTCTGGACGTGTGCTTGTTTTAAAAGATGTGTTGTACACACCGTCCATGAGGAAAAATTTGATGTCGAGTTATTTGCTCAATAAAGCTGGTTTCAAGCAGACCATTGAATTTGACCAATATGTAATTACTAAAAAAGGAATATTTGAGGGGAAAGGGTATGCCTGTGATGGAATGTTTAAATTAAATATTGAAAATAAGAAAACACATGTTTCTGTTTACATGCTGTTTTTTATGAATTTTTGGCATGCTCGTCTGTGTCATATTAATAGTCGATATGTGGGAGTCATGAGTAGTAAGTTTAGGATTAATTCTCAGACTAACAAATAAATTTGAGAAATGTGAAGTTTGCAGTCAAGCAAAAATAACTAAAAGGCCTCATAAAAGTGATGAGAAATACTGAATTGTTAGAATTAATTCACACTGATTTATGTGAATTTGAAGGAATTTTAACACGTGGTGGAAATAGATATTTTATCACTTTTATTGATGATTTTTCAAAATACACTTATGTATACTTGTTAAAAAATAAAAGTGATACTTTTGAAAAATTTAAAGAATTCCTTCTTGAAGTTGAAAATCAATTCGGTAAAAAGATTAAAAGATATAGAAGTGATAGAGGCCGGGAGTATGAATCTTTTAGATTCAACTCGTTTGCTCAGTCTTTGGGAATAATTCATGAAACTACTCCACCATATTCACCTGCATCTAATGGTGTAACAGAAAGGAAAAATAGAACTTTAACTGAATTAACAAATGCTATGCTAATTGAAGTAGGTGCTCCTTCAAATTTGTGGGGAGAAGCAATTTTAACTGCATGTTATGTTATGAATAGAGTGCCACATAAAAAAACAAAAGTTACACATTTTGAATTGTGGAAAGGGCATAAGCCAAATTTGAGATATTTGAGGGTTTAGGATTGTCTAGCTTTTGTTAGACTTGTGAACCCTAAAAGACCTAAATTAGGTGTGAAAGCTGCCACTTGTGCTTTTCTTGGATATGCAACAAATAGTACAGCCTATAGATTTTTTGATATGGGAAACAAAATAATTTCTGAATCGGGTGATGCAATTTTTCATGAAGAAGAATTTCCTTTTAAATCTAAAAATGCTGGGGGTCAAAATTATCAAGAAAATATTTTATCTGAAACCGGTTCCTTTACTCCTCTTTTACAAAATCAAGATACTGTAGTTTTTGAACCTAGAAGGAGTAAAAGAGCCAGATTAAAAAAAGATTTGGGCCCTGATTATCATGTTTTTAATGTGGAGGAAACTCCATTAACTTTACTAGAAGCTTTGGCATCTCCTGACTCTGTTTTTTGGAATGAGGTTGTAAACGATGAGATGGAATCATTATTATCCAATAAAACTTGAGTATTAGTAGATTTACCACCAGGTTGTAAAACTATTGGCTGTAAATAGGTTTTGAGAAAAAAAACTTAAACTAGATGGAACTATTGATAAATATAAAGCAAGGCTTGTTGCAAAAGATTTTAAACAAGCAGATCTTGACTATTTTGATATATTTTCTCCGGTTATTAGAGTTACATCCATTAGATTATTAATTGCAGTGGCTGCAATTCATGATCTAAAAATTCATCAAATGGATGTTAAAACAGCATTTTTAAATGGAGACCTGGGTGAAGAAATCTATATGGATCAACCTGAGGGTTTTGTGGAACCCGGTCAAGAAAGCAAAGTGTGCAAGCTAGTTAAATCCCTATATGGCTTAAAACAGGCCCCTAAATAGTGACATGAGAAATTTGATTCCTGCATGATTGAGAATGGCCTATAAAACAAATGAATCTGATAAATGCATCTACTATAAATCTGACGAGAATTCACATGTTATTATTAGCCTCTATGTGGATGATTTACTTATATTTGGCTCTAATTTGCATATCATCGTGGAAACTAAAAATATGCTTAGTAGCCATTTTGATATGAAAGATCTTGGTGAGGCTAATTATATTTTGGGAATGAAAATTACTAAAACTTGTGATGGTATATTTCTTGATCAGTCGCATTATGTTGAGAAAATTTTGAGAAAGTATAATTTTTATAAGTGCAAGCATGTTCTTACTCCTTTTGATCCTCTTGTGCGTTTATTTCCTATTGAAAATGATGAGGGCGTAATTAATCAAAAGGAATATGCTAGTATGATCGGTAGCTTGCGTTATGCGATTGACTGTACTAGACCTGACATTGCCTATGCAGTTGGAGTACTTAGCAGGTTTACTAGCAAGCCTGGCAGTGATCACTAGCTGGCCATTGAGCGTATTATGAAATATTTATCTGGTACCATAAAATATGGCTTGTTTTATAATAAGTATCCTGCAGTACTTGCAAGTTACAGTGATGCCGATTGGAATACCTTGTCAAGTGATTCATTATCAACCACTGGTTACTTATTTACATTGGGAGGTGGTGCTATAAGTTGGAAATCAAAAAAACAAACCATGATTGCTAATTCAACAATGGAGGCTAAGCTTATTGCTTTAGCTACAGCCAGTAAAGAAGCAAATTGGTTAAGAGATTTGTTAAATGAAATCTCTTATTGGGAAACACTGATTCCACCTATATTGATTCATTGTGATAGCACCGCAGCAATTGGTCGAGTAAATAATCGTTATTATAACGGTAAATCCAGACCTATCAGAAGAAAATACAGTACTGTGAGATCTTATATGAATAATGGCATCATAAATGTGGATTATATTAAATCTGATGATAATCTTGCAGATCCATTAACTAAGGCCTTAGCAAGAGATAGAGTCTGGAATACATCAAAGGGGATGGGGTTGAAGCCCATTGAATATAGCAGGAGCCATGTATGAGGATACTCAACCCAGGGACCAGAGATCCTGTAACTGGGTTCTATGAGAAAAACGATCATATGATGGCCATGAGAAATGCACTAAATTACTTTTTACCCATCCCTATGATGTAAGTGCATGTATCCTGTAACGTTGTAGAGGTTGAGTTATTAAAAAACTCTTAATGAATTTCTGTAACTCTTATTGAGTGGGGTGTTATAGTTACAGGAGCACCCTTGACAGAATTCACCTATGTGAGTGTGGTAGTGGGGCCGCTACCTATGAGATTTTGGCTAATTCTCAAACACACTCATGAATCCTGGGATCGCACAAGGCCGTAATGTGCTAGCTTTTAAAGCTTATGTGAACACCTGGAATAGTATGTGTGTGCAATAATTATTTATTTCCCTTAAGCAGTCATAGTTCAATGCTGAGCATACTATTGGCTCTGTAGTAGATATTATTGTTTCACTAATGGAGGTTCAATGCAGAGCACACCTACCATGATGCATAATATCCTTATTTGCCTAATAATCTCAGTTTTTGTTACCTATAATATTAAAATAGGTGGAGGAATGTTAGCAGATATTTTAATATCATAATGTGTTATTGGTTTGATTTGTTTTCTTTCCCTCCAAGTTTTCATTGTCTTTCTCTTCAAGTCTCCAAGTCTTCAAAGTAAGTTGCTTACCAATTTCCTTCATATTCTTATCCTCCAAGTCTTTGCCAAGTCAAGTCTCCTTCAAGTCTTCCAAGAGTCAAGTCTTCATACCTATCCTCCAAGCATCTTCCAAGGAGCCTCCAAGCAACTTCCAAGAAGGATCCTCCAAGAAACTTGTCCACCAAGTTTCATCTTCTATAAATTGAGCTAATCTCCTATCTTGGAATATATGAGAATAAGTTTTGTTGCTTTATTATGTTTTGTGTGAGATTATCAGGCAAATAAAAAAGGGTGTATGTGATAAAGCTTTGGGTTCAACCAATTGTGCAGTATTGGTGAACCGTACGACTTAGTCGTGCTGTTGTATTCTGGGGGAACAAGTCAAGGTTTTTTCTGCCGCACTGGTGTGAGGCTTTGCCTAACCGCAGAGGGCTTGAATCTCTTTAAAGAGAGTGAATTTCCCGTGCCTCAACCCTTACAATAGTTATTGTAATTTTTATTATTTGTATTTTCTGGTGTTTTATTTGTAATTATCACCAACATCTTTCATGCATTTTTCTTTCTTACTTTTATAGCTGGCCATCCTAATTGTTCTTTTTGACTATGATATTTATTCTAGCTTCTTGGGTTTGATCTACCCTAACTACTGTGCAACTTGTGTGAAATCAAACTTACGTTAGGTGATAAAAACTTATTTTTTTTCTAAATTTGTGCTTTGGAATATATTTGACACATATTGGTGGTGCCTTTACCAAAGAGACGTTCCCACAGGCTATGGAAGAAAAAAAAAAGAAGTTAGCAAAGAACCATGACCAACAACTGCGTACACTAAAAAATGCAGGGCATTGAATTTTCAATCCATCTTAATGCACCCATGACCATCAATTGTTGATTGGTGTGTTATATCTGTAAAGTTCTGTATGTGCTTTCAAATTTTTGTTTGTCTCTTGGTCATATTATATTGAACAAGATTTCTATTTGTGCAATTCAACTTATTGCTCATAATTCCTTTTCTTCGTAGGTAGCTCTACTAGCACAGATCGAAATAGTTGGATGTCATGTCACTGGAACAGCTTTTTTTACCGTGTCAATTTTTTTTTCATATGATGTGCATTCTTAGCACAAGATCATAAAGAGGTATCACAACTTTCTTAAATCCAACCAACTTTGGCATGCACATTTGGTAATTCTTCTAGAAGTTTTACGCTGTTCATTTGGGTTTAAGATCGATTTTATCAGGAACTGGTATTATGGTTAAAATGTTTTCCTTTTAACTATTTTCATTCATTTTTAAATTTTAATTATTTATTTTTTTGTCTTAAAAAATGTGTGACATTTATCTCTAATTTTGGATTCAAGCTTTTTCAGCTTCATATACTGCACAAAATTGTTAGGAGCATATCACATGCTGTGGCTATTTCTTTTGAACTATTTGTTTTTTTCTTTTTCGGGTGTTTAAATTTTTGTATTTTAGGTTATTTGTATGAAAATTTTGATTATATTATCCTGCTGTTTTACATATTTAGTTACTAATTTTGGCTGCTTTGAAAGTTGGTGTTGGTCAATTGATGATTTGACGGTTGTCTTGGGTGTAGACTTGATAATTGATACTAGTTCATGCAATAAATTATGGATGATGCTGACAGTAAATAGAATTTTGATTAGGATTTTCAAACCATTGGTTACATGACCTTGGATTGGATGATTAGTGACTGGATGATTATGTGGTGGATCATTCTGGGATTACGAAGTTATGATCCCAATCATATATATTTTCTGTGTAATTATTGTTTTGAAACCATTAGGTTGCGTCTCCTGTTTGGGTGATTACATGGACTGTTGTGGCGTGCCATGGTACGTATAATCCTACTGTCTGTAAATGTTTGAACCTATAATTTTAGTATTTAATTTTAATTGCATTTTTAATTCAAATGTTAATATTCATGCCATGAATCATGGGTACTGGCACCAGCTCTGGCAGCCCAATTGGCGGCCCCAGTAGCCGAACCCCAAATGATCTTTAACTTTTGCAGTGTGTGTGTTTGAACCTCTACCCATTTCTTCTTCTGCTATCACTGTTTGTGGTGATGTTGCTTCTTAGTTGCTTGATGCTGTGCGGTGCAGGGGATTTAGTGTTCTCCATATTATGGTGGTTCATTTGAATGCCTTAATGGACAGGAGTGGGCTGAGGGCTAGAAGTAGAAGTCAGGTATTTTCCATCCTTCTTTGACAAATGAATCTTTCATAAGTTTTTGGTAAGTAATTATTTGATAACAAACTTTTTTTGGAAACAATGCATTTGTTCATGGTGTTCTACATTTACTAGATTCAATGACTTTGTTTAGGGCGAGAGAGAGAGCGAGAATTAGGTTTTTGCACTGTGGTGTTGTGTGGGGACCCACATGGTTGATGTCCTAGGTAAAAACCGAAGTGATATTAGAAGATATGGAAGAGAAAATTTATGGAATTTGATGGTGTTTTTGCCGTAGTGACATTACTGTTTATGTTTATTTATGAAAGTTTTTATTCGATTTTTTGTTTCTTCACTTGAATTATAAGATAAGACCTCTTTACTAACATTTTTGTTTTATTTCTGGTACGAAAATCCATGAGTTGCTAATATTAATCACATCTAGGAGCAAATGTTTTCCTAAATAATTTTGGAGAATGTTTCTGCAAGATAGTTGCAATATCTGTTTTTCTCCCGCTCACAGCATGCAGACCACACTGTCGTGTTTTTTTTTTTCTTTCTCGGGTGCGACTCGCGTGGCGACTATGTACTGTTTTGAATTTTTGAAAACCAGTAGAGCCCTCAGTTGTTTTCCTGATATTCTATCCCCTCTGTTAAATCAAAAATTAATTTTTGTTAATCTTTGTTTTGTTTTGAATAGGTCAATTTTGTGCTATCAAAAAAATAAATATTATATCAACGCTTGGTGTCCACAATCAAAGACAGGTGAATTTCAGGGTTATTTAGTTTGTTTTCAAGGTGTTGATGTGAATAATATTGTGGTATTGAAAGATTTGGTCCTTTTTATGTTTTTTAAGTTGCCCTTTGCCATTCATTTTTATTTGAAATTAATCCTGGAATATTATTGTTTGCTTCATTTTGGTTTTAGTTGGTGAAATTTGTCCTCAGCTTAGAACGGTTTTGGATGGAATTGCTTTGGGAAAGTTAATTTGAGTGAGAGTTTTGATTGGTTTGGAATGTTTGTGGGTTTGGATTGATTGAAATTTAAGATGGGAGGAGTGGAGTGGTGAAGTAGGATATGGGGAGGGTGCTGGCTGACTGGCCTGGTAGGTTTTGGGTTATGATTTTCAGTATTTTCTGTTTTCAAAATAGGAATGCAGTGCCACTATCATTAACTTTTCTTCAATTAATGTGGCACACACATCTAGCACCTTTTTTAACTGTTGAGAATGTTTAGGTACTTTAAGTTTATTTGTTTTTTATAAAAAAGGTGTGATTAAACTCTCTAAAATAGAAATTATTGTTTTATTCAATTTTAATTTGTTATACTTGTCACATAAACTGAATATTATTCTCTTAGCAACAGACACTTACCACTATTTTTCAACCTGCAGGCCTTGGAACAGTGTTCTAGAATGAATCATCACATTGATTTTTATTGGTTTATGATTAATCATAGTAGGTTAGTGACAATGTTTTTTTTACTTCTTCGAATGTAACTTATTCCAAATATAGTTTTGAAACATTGATAATGGATGAATACCATGAGCTTTCCATGAACATAATTAATAGGTGTATCGAGAACTTTTATGACCATTCCCACTCCTCTCTTTTTCTCTGCAAGTGAATGCTTCTTTGATATGTCTGCTTTTATTTTGGTTGTTTTGTATTTCTGGTATCTTTATCTTGTCTTGTTTCTTGTTTACAATAGTATGCAGTAATATATGGAGTTACAAAAGCAGCATGTTAGGCGTGCATTGGAATGCAGACCACCGCCTGCTGAAGTCATCGATAATGAGCGCTGAAGATCTGGTTTGTAGCTCTTTTTTGCAAATGGAGTTTTGTAATTATGCCTACCTTTCTGAAATTGTAAATAATATAATTCGGGGAAAGAATTATATATAATAATAGGCTGCCCTATTATGTCATGTACCTGATTCTAATTCCTTTCTTCTAAAAATGTTTTATACGTGTTCTGAAAAAATTAATGGCTTCTTTTTGTGATAATTTCAAATTTGGATAAGCTGTATTAGAATATTCCTATGAACTTTAAAACTGTTGTAAACAATAATCTTAGCTTTGGCATCGAAGCTTGTTGGGCACATGTGAGTTTTTCGGGTTTTGGCTAATAACCACAAAAACAAAATAAATTAAAAACGTAAGAACAAAGATGTCACAGTCTTTAAAGTTATAATCATTTTAATTTTTTCTCTACAAAATCAAAGTCAAAAAAAAATCTATTTCAAACGAGATTTTTAGCCTCAGCTAAAAATAGTCAAAAAGTTAATTCACATCCCAAACTAATCAAAAGTCTGTTTAGACAATTACACAATTGGATACAAATAAAAAAAATCTTTCCTTTCCTCAATGACTCGTTAAGGGTGCGGGTTTGTAGGTCTCTGATTGTAGAGAAAGCAATATAATGTTGACTTTACATGCCTGAATTAGCAACATCAGCTAGAAAATAATTTCTTATCTCATATTGGAATCTGAACAAGTTTTTGCATGAAATTGGTGAAGAGTTGATACACCCAGTGCTGATGGCTATATTTCCTCGAAACAACATTGTTGTGAAAATATTGTTTCTAAGTTTCACCTAATCATTAAATATTATCTTTAATTGATTCCGTAAGGCCGGTATGAGCTTAGTTTGGAGATTTTAAATATTGGATTAAAATATTAAAAAATAAGTCTAGAAAAACTAGTTTGAGTCGATTTTTTTTTTCTCCGCACAATTCATGTTGTAGCCATAATATCTCATATTTTAATAACTCAATAAATCATAAAAAAATATAATCCTTAATCATTACGGTACTTTTTAATCAATCAAAAAAAATAAATTTTTTAATTACTTAAAAAGCTAAACATACAAGAGAAAAAAATCTATTAAAAGATGTGAATTGATTTGTACATTTTAGTGGTATAAAAAAATGTAAATTTTAAATTGATTAGTTAAGTTTCCCTTTCCCAATTCTAAATTTAAGCTTCTAAATGGATTAATTAATTTTCCTTTTTGTAAATGTATAATAGATTGTAGGAGCCAAAAAAAAATATATATATAGGCTTATTGGGGCTAATCCAAAAAGGCCTACATGGTCCCACCCCAAACAAATATTACTCCCCTCATCTATATAAAATGGGGGCATCCTAGATGGGGGTATGTACTCTCCAACACTACAACACCAATACTCTTCATTTCTATACCTTCTTCTTTCCAATCAAGTGACTGACTTCACTATCGGAGTGTCTCCCGGTCGGCTAACCCCAGTTTGGGTTGGACGTTGATGCATGCTCCAATCTTTGAGGCCTATACGGGACAAAGTTAATCTCTTCGTTGGATCTCTATAACCATGGTGAGAGAATTTGTTCCTAGCTCAACAATTGGCGGCCGTCTGTGGGAAACATTTGGCAAGCGTTCTAACGAAAAGAAAGAACAATATGTTCTTGTAAGTAAAACTTTTACAACACTTTTGATCCTGCTCTTTGCAAAATTATTTTTTAAGATTGATTCTTGGATGATATACTATGGTTTGTGTGGCGACCTAGTGTGCCATCCGTCCTCTTTTCCTTTTGTTTAAACCCTCGGATTTGTCGCGTTAGTGTGTCGGGTCTCACTTGAAGTCTGATTATCGTCCTGGGGTGTTGCACTTGAGTTTTTCCCGAAATTCTTGTTCTTGCTTCTTTAGTGTTGATTCCCACTTGTTCCGGGGGTGCGAGGTGCAGTCCAAGGTGCCTAGATTGTGAGCGGGGAAAATTCTGGGCTGGAAACGTAGGCCGCACGTGCGGAAAATTCAGGGGAGGTTTGGGGCTGCACATTGCAATATATGCAGGTGCTGGAGGAGGTGCGGTAAAGCAAAGGAGGGCCACTACGTGCAGGGTTGAGGGCTTGCAATCGTGCGGGAGAGAGGCTCTGCACGTGCGGGACGATTTGGCATTCTGAAAATGCCTATTTTTTTCAATCTTTTAGGGCTACATTGTATCTCATTGTTTTGAAACATCTCTTCCTGCCTAAAAACATTTTTACTCTCGCTTCTCTCTAAAAACTCTCCATCTAGCACTCAAAACTCTTTGTTTCTTTGTGATCCTTGGAGCCTAGAAGCCTTTTATCTCTCACCTAATCTTGAACGAATAAAGCTAGGGCTCCTCTTGGTGTAGTGGAAAATTGAAGTCTTTCATCTTGAATCTAGGGTTTCATTTCATCTTCTTCTCAAACATTGAAGTTTAGGGATTTCTTGAGTTATATATACATGTTTTTGCCCACATTGTGTTGATTCTAAAGTTTTCTTGGAAGCTCCTTATGTTATTGTTTATTTTGAGATCAAAAGGAAAATGTAGAGAGTTTTTAAAAAGCGGGTTTAAATCTCACCCTTGTTAATTCCATAGGATTTTTCTTTTTAGTTTAAATTTTAAGAAAGATGATTTT